CGAGTAGAACATCACACCGCCCCATACTCCAAACAATTACCAGAAAGTTCGCAGACCCCTTGCGTTCCTGATCTACGACCGGCAACTCCTGATACTGCTTTTTATTTTGATCTAAGGTCTTACCTGGCAAATAATACTACTGAATAGCAGTGCTCCTCTAAACTTAAACCAGAGCCTAATGGATTGTTGCATCCTACTTCACTGAGATAAAAGAAAAATCCCCTAAGCTCTGCCTCACCTACCTGCCCACCTGTCTATACCCATACACATAGCCATCTCTCCTGTTAGATAGGTGCCCTTGTGTGCACTGAACCTCATGTCACTTTCCATTAAGAACTTCTGATAAAGCAGTTCTCCCTTCTGTTTTCTATATCTTCGTTTTACTTCATTTCAACTGAATCTTTCCCATCAACCTACAGATCTGCTAATATTTCTCCTTTCTTGGGAAAAAAATAAGCCTCTGTTCCCCTTCCACTAACCCTACATCTCTCTTCTTCCCATTTCAGAACAACTTCTTGAAAGAGTCATCTATAGTATCTTCAGCTTCTGTTCTGCCATTCTCTTTGGAACACACCCCAGTCAATTTCACCTCCCATCACTCTGCTGGAACTTTGTCTCTCAAGGGGACCAGTGACTTCCACTGTACCAACTCCAGTGGTCAACACTCAGTCAACACCTGACTTGATCTGTCAGTGGCAGTTGGCATACATGGACTCTCCCTTTTTATTCTTCTTGAAACACCTTTGCACTTGGCCCTTATGCTTTCTTAGGTTTCCTTCTATTTCTTCTTGGCCTCCTTTTCTGGGTTTATCACACCTCTTTTAACTCTAACTGACAGTATACCATATGGACCACTTCTCTTTTCTATTCTCATGCATTTACTATAGATGATCCCATCTGGACTCATATTTTTATTGTTGTTATTTCTGGCAGTGCTGGGGATCAAACCAGGGCCTTGAGCTTGCTAGGCAAGTGCTCTATCACTAAGCTACATCCACAGCCCACCTCACAGGTACATAATTGCTGTCTGCATATGGTGACTTCCAAACATATTTTTCTAGCCCAGATCTTTCCCTGATCTGTAACCTCATATATCTACCTCCTAATTATTATCTTTAGTTATGTATTTAAAACATATCTCATAATTAGCATGGTCCAAAATGAGTTCTCTGTCTTCTCCCACCAAATCTATTTCTCCTATCATTTTCCCATCTCACTTAATGACAATTTCATCTTCCTGATTGCTCAGTCATAACTTTGATTCCTCTCATTCTCTTACACCCATCTAAACTGCCCAATTATTCCATCAAGTCTATCCAAAAGCAACACCAAAATCTGTCCCAAGACCCTACTATTTTTCACTGCTTCTGCTATTACTGTTTTCCTAGCCACTGTGTCTGCACTGGAATGTTGCAGCGATCTTTGAGTTGGTTGCTGCTTCTCCTGTTCTCTGTAGTTTACTTTCCACAGAGCTCCTTTTCCTATTAGAATATAAATCACATCATTCCTTGCCTCTTTTCAAAACTCTCAAATAACTTCTCATATCTGAGCACTTTTAGTGGCCTCCAAGTTATGTAGCAGTACTTCTCAGTCTGTCTGCAATGAAGTAGCAGTTTGTTTTAATTTGCAGTTTGAGGTAGACCAATATTTTACGAAAGTATCATAAAAATGAGTTATTAGAGAGAGAGAGCTTCCTCTGGTTGTGGTGAAGTAACTGGCATTCTATTACCTCTTCCACTACCAACTACTGGAAAATTGTTCTGAGTGTAAGAAACAACTATTCTCAGAAATCAAGCACTAAGTAATTCATGACTGATCTCTTAGGGAAGGAAAGCAAATGAGGAGAGCCCTGGGATGCCTGGAGCCCTGCCTAGAGGCATCTTCCCAAAGTCCAGTCCAGGGTTTAATCTTGCTTAAGAAAAGGGGACAGGAATTGGAGTTTGGGGAGGCTGGAATTTCCCAAGTAGGACTGCAGAGAGGAGGAGCCATGCAGAGAAAGCGCTCCATAAATCTGCCCAGGGATCCCTTTGAGACTTGCTGAAAACTAAGCAGAGAACAACTTCCTGGGAAAGAATGTGTTCTGGGGATCTGGAGAATTAATTACCTGAGCTCACACAGGCAGATTGAGTTCCAACCAGCCAAAGTAGAGTCTCCACTGAAAACTTTGGACACTCATAGAGACCCCCAAAAAGGCCACATCGTAGGAGCAGAGTGAAAATAGCACTAGGTAAATGTTACTCTAGATTGTGGTAATGAAGCTCAAACACAAACCTCAAGCATATCAATGTGGTCCACAAGTTAATTAACTGACTGTAGATTCTTTAGAGGAAGAAAACAAAATCCAGATATTCAACAATATAAATTAATCATATACATCATTCAGTGTAAAAAAAAAAAAAAGACATAGAGCTGAGCATGGTGGTACACATCCGTAATCCCAGCATTAAGGATCATAAATTCATGGTCAGGCTTAGGCTACATAGCGAGACCGTGTCTCAAATAAATAAATAAATAGATAGATATAGGAAAAAGGAAGAAAGTATGACCTATAACCAAAAGAAAAATGAAGAGTCAGAATTGACAGACACAATGCAGTTAGCAGACTTAAACTTTAAAACAGCCTTTAGATATCAATAACATAAAGGAAAATATAAACATAATGAGAGAAATGGAAGAAGAAAATGAAATCACACATTGAAAGTGCTGAGAGAACTTATTTTACTTCTTTCTAAGTTATACAAATTGTCTTGCTTTACCCACTGAAAAGGTCTAGGAGCAGTGGCACCCCCAGAACTGTGAGCACCTCATTGCCCTGATTGTGGTCTCTCAGTATTTTCTCATGCTGAGGAAATCAGACGTCCTAGTTGAATTTTGATTTCAAGTCTGGGGCAATAAATATATAAAACAAAATGGAAATATCTTATACTAAAACCCAAGAAAGCTAACAAACTGTAAAAGATGTCATAGAACACAGGTGCCTGGAAGAGCTCCCCTGGCCAGTGGTAGAACCATTTGAGCGTCAAGAAGATTTTTGAAGTAGATTGAAGCACCTCAGATACATAAAAATCTGAGTTCACAGAGACAGTAGTAAAGATGACTTCTTGGTAACCGTTGGAGGTTGCTAGGACACTAGCTTATTGTTTTGAATTTTATAAAATAATGGGAATTAATCAACTGTTTGTTTTACCTTTTTTTATTCATCTATTCATTTATTCATATATGCATACATTGTTGGGGCCATTTCTCCCCCTGCCCCACCCCCCACCCCCCCTCGCTTCCAGGCAGAACCTCTTCTGCCCTTTTCTCTAATTTTGTTGAAGAGTAGACATAAGCAATAATAAGAAAGACATAGCGTTTTTGTTAGTTGAGATAAGGATAGCTATACAGAGAGTTTTTTGAATGAGCAGTATTTCAAATTAAATAAATAAAGGAAATTAATCGATGCAGAAAGGATGAGAAAACTGGAAAAATCAATAATTTGTGACCCTTAGTGAAATAAATAATCTATATGAGACTCATCAAATGCTTCAGCCATCAGGTAAACATTTGATGGGAGTCTTTACAATAGAGATGTGACCAGCAGCACCTGAATTCACTGGTCAGTATTTACATCCTCCTTTTTGATATGTAAGTACAATATATTATCTACAAAGAAAAGGAACTCCATAAATCTACATAGAGGTCATCTTGAATGTTGCCAGAGGGTAAAGAGGTCACCAGATTTTTGTCATTTTTCAAAAACAAAACAAGATCAAAAACTTTTATTAAGCATCTAAATGTAGAGAAACAAGTTAAATGATACCACAGGAAGCAGTCAGTCAAATCCAGGCAGGGTATTCTACAAGATTACCTGTTTTCTTCCCAATTAAATGTCCTGAAATAAATAGGGAAAAGAGGGAGGTGTTGTGGATTGTGGTGGCATAGCTGAGTGTGGTGGTATAAGCCTACAACCTCAGCACTTGAGAGGCTGAGGCCAGCTGGAACTACATAGGGAGACCCTGTCTCAAAAAACAAAAAAATTCAAACAAAAAACACCAGAAGTCTATCAACCAAGTACAAACGTGAAAGAAACATAAACCAAATGCAAAGCAGGAACCTCGTTTAGATCTTAATTTTTAACTGGAAAAGGATTTTTTTTTTTAAGATTGGAAGAAATTTTCAGGTGGGCTGAGACACTGAAACACTTTGTCAAAGTTTTTAGGTGTGGTAATGATGTTGAGGGTATGTAAAATGTTTTCCCTATCTGATAGATACACGGACACAAGCATTTCCAGGTGAAGTAATTGCCTGGGATTTTCTGAAACTGTCCTGCATAGCAAGCTGGGGAAGGAAGGATGGATTAAGCAAGATCAACACAATGATGATGTTTGTTCACGTTTGATGATGGAAACATGAGGGGCAGTAGAGATTTCTCTATTGTGTGCAAGTTTTAACATTTCTGTAGTAAAAGAGTTAAGGGGAAAAAATAAAAGACCTCATTCTTGGGCCTTCCGTCTGTCTGTAAGAGAGATCTTCATAGTGCTGTTTGCAGTTAGATATAATTCCAGTGAGTACTTGTTACGTGGGAGACGGGTATTAAAGCAGTGTCTTTATAGAAATAAAAATATCCAACGGGTGGCATGTGGTAACACTGAGAATTCTTAAGTGTCGACAAAAGCTGTAAAGCAGATCCACTCTGCTCAGCTGTCCTGCCAGAGGGCTTTCCCTAAAACCAGAGCCTGAGCAGAACTCTCGGATGGGGTTCCTCCTTCCCCAGGGCTGTGGTGTCAGCTGGCCAAAGATGACACCTAAAAGACTGCGTTTAGTTCCTTTTCAGAGGATTTGTGGGATGGATTCCCAATAGCCTAACACTGTGTTCCATTGCACACTGTGGTTTTTTAATTGTTTTCCCTATCGTGATTTATTGTTTTTCTGTTTTTAAGTTTGCTCATTTTAATCCATGTTCATTTCTCCCTCTGTGTGTGTGTCGCGCTTGCTATCTCTGCTCCCGCCATTCCCAGGTTGCTCTGTAGCCAGGACAGGCCCGGTCCCTTGGATGAGCACGCGCTGATAGCCTCCTATGCGGCCCGTCTGCAGCACTGCGCACGGTTAGTGGCAGAGCAGCGCCGCTCAGGCAGGGCGGACTGACCGGGAGAGCAGCTCTGCATGGTGGGAGTTCTCAAGCAGCTGCCAGCTATGACTGGCAGAGTTAAAATAGCCGCTGAAGCATTGGCGTCCACAAGAGATGGAGCCGTGCCAAGCCTGCCAGTCACCTACACATGGATTGGAAAGTCCCCTGGAAAGTGGGGTTCGGTCCCTGCGGGTCAAACGGAAGAGTGTTCACCTTTCGGAAACTGACAATTCCATAGACCCAGCCTTCAGACATATCTCATGCATCCTCTTCCTGTCCCCTCGAGGCAGATAATGAAGTCCTCCTTCTGATAGTCAAAGTTTAGGGCTAATCAGCCCACAGATAGCACACTTGTCTAGTGTGGGACTTTAATACCACCCAGTCCCATCTTTACCATGCCTTATCTGTCAGCAGCATTCTATCGGTGACTGAAATCAGTTAGTGATTTTCAACAGTGGTATGGGATCATTGTCACCTAAGGGGTTTCTTATAAGCTGCATATACCTCCTCATAATAATTGTGTGTATTGTAACAGCCTCACACCCCTTACCCTGAAAGCTACTATGATAGCTACTCACTATTAACATGGGAATGTGACTGACCACTCAGTAGGCTGAGATGGAAAAGTGTTTGATAACCACTAACTATAGCAAAGTTAATATTGAACAGTGCGCTGTTACATTCAGGTAGTCTAAAGTCTCCTGTCTGCCTGAAGACCACACCTTCCTCCACTCCTCAGGGAAGGTGACAGGTAACGTTTCAGTAATCCACAGCCATCCTTCCCATGTACAGCAGCAAAGAGGAGTCACCATGCCAAACAGCTTGTAAATCTCTGCTTTGAGATTCTTATTCCTGGAGATAAAACCATAATTTATAAAGCTGGCACCTCAGATTTTGATCCTTGTTTTGTCTGTAGCATGCCCTGGCTCCTTGGGAAGGTTGTTTGACCCCAATCCTAGTCAGTAGGGAAAACATACTTATGAACAAGACTGTTTCAGTACTGTACCTAACCATTTCCCATTGTCTGCCCAGTGTGACTAAGTGCCATCATCACTTTGGAGCACTTCCCTCTCTAAAGCGTTGGAGAAACTGTAGGGTCCTCCAGAGCCCAGGGTGGGTTTAATGGGCTTCTCCTGCAGGAGGGAGGAGGGTCTGACAATGTCAAACAGTTTCATTGAGAGTGTCTCCTCATCCACCGTATGGTTCCTTTGTGCCCATCCCAGCCACTTGGTCTCTGGGAGGAATTGCTTTCTATCTGAAGGGCAGATTTCCAGGGGGACTGAAAACTTCCACAGTAAAAATAGCAGCAGAACATTGGAAGAGACCGTGCTGCTATTTCAGCCCCAGAGGTTCACGGTAGGTTTAGCCAAGTCCTCAAGTCCCATGACTTAGAACCGAGGCTCCCTGAGCAAGAGTCAGGACCAGTAGTGAGTGCTGCATCTGTTCTTGATTTGTAGTGTAAGGAACTGGGCCCCATACTTACCTGAAGAAATCAGAAATTTCCTGGCTAATTCTGAAAACGAAAGTCAACTCAAACAGAAGAGTTAGGGACCTTTCCGATTATCTTCCAGTAGTTTTCACTGACTCCCAAGGAGCCATGTCATCCTCCTCACTCATATATAAATAACAGATGGGTTGGCCTTCCAGAGGAGATGGAACACGATAGAGAAAAGGAGCTGTGTTGCAGAGGAACTTACTGTCTCTCCTGCCAAATCACAGAGGGCAACCCTGCTAGGCTCCCAATCCACCCTTAATAGTATCCACTCGTTTTGTTAATCATTCATGTTCATTGTTTTTTATTTTGGAAGTATGGATAGTTCTCCGTTTCAAACATCTTTAGGGCGCACATATTATAGATCAACTCTGACCTTGGGGCTTTGACCCTGAAGCGTTAAAGCCAACTAATGGTAACATACTCTTAGTAGGGGAATGATCGTCCATACATGCTGATGCTGGAATGGCACCAGATGTCATGACGAAGACTTAAAGTACATGTCTTAAAAAATCCATCCAAGAGGAAAGACTAAATTGAGCATAAAGAATTAGCCACAGACATAGCAAGTTCTAGGCCAGCCTGAGCTTACATAGTTTAAAAAAAAAAAATCACAGAGGTAGAAACATAGAAAGGTTGTTTTTTAAAATCTGGAAAAAATATAGTAGACTGTATAAGAAAAGGTCAGAAAGATCTTTGTTGACTTAACAGTAACCTTCCCATATTCTCCTCCATCAAATAACAAGATTTGGTGACTACTGAACTCATGTCTTTAAGTTCTTAGATTTTAAATCATGTTGTCAAATTCTGATCATGGTTTTTGAAAACTTTACAAACCTTGACTTTCGTGAGTCAAGTCACAAAAGCCCCTTCTGGTCAGTTATCATCATCATACTTGTCCTAAAGCTCTGTTAGTCTTAAAGAAACAGAATTACATATGCATAGTCCCTGTTAATCCAGGACTTCCCTAATACGGGTTAAACAGCAATTGGCATAAAATACTAAATTAAAGAGGTCAGTTGTAAATACAGTCTACTATTCAAGAACCTTATTTGACCCAGGACCTACATTACTGATATCCTATCTGGATGGGGTCTTTACTCGTGTTAAAGAATAGTGGAAAGCCAGGTGTGGTAGTCCATGCCTGTAATCTCAGCACTTGGGAGTCTGAGGCAGGGGTATTGTGAGTTTGAGCTCAAACTGGGCAATATAACAAGAACCCATCTCAAAAAGAAGAAGGGAGGGGGAAGAGGAGGAGGGACTAATTCACTGTAAAGGCCTTTGATTGTGGAACGAGTGTAGTAAAAGAAGAGAAGGAGACAAGGGGATTTTGATACTATGGAACCAAACATTTACAATGTCTGGCCAGCCCCAGCCAGGGTGCTCCACCTTTGGTCAGCCAGTGTGTTAGGTGTAGTTTTTCTCAGCCTGTGTTTTTCTTAATATTACAGTTTTCTCTTGGTCTTTTTGCCTTCAAGGTCTGGGACTTAAAAGTCATGAGTTTTTCTACACACTTGCTTAGAAATCCCTATCTTGGATTTCCTGGGGCACCTGTCTTTCCTCAGCCCTTTTTTCAAAAGGAAGGGGCCCCTCTGATGGTGTGGGCATCTGGGATGCAGAAGGGATGAGTTGCTGGAGGATGGCACACAGCCTTGTTTCTCTGAATCCCCTCCGTCTCAGAGACCCTAAGTGTCTATGACTCAGACCTCTGTTTCCTTTTTATCACCCCTTCTTACAAGCTTTGCTCCTGTGTGGAGCAAGATGTGAAGACGTTTAATAGACACCTGTTGAATTTTTATCTCCTTGGCAGTGTTCTGGACAGTCCTAGCCGGCTGGACGAGGAACACCGGCTCATAGCTCGCTATGCTGCCCGACTGGCTGCAGAAGCAGGAAACATGGTAAGTGGATAGAGAACCTGCAGAAAACAGCATTATTTTAATGTATAAATTATGCAGGAGAATAGTAAACATGACACTTAGGAGAGTGGATTCCTCAGGGTCAGGGAAAGGGTGTGTGTTTAGGGAAGAGATGGAGAGAGCCTTTAATTTTATCTGTAATATTATCTTTCTTTAAAAACAAATCCATCAGAATTAGTTCTTGGCTGGTCCAGTACTTGGGAGGTGGAGATCAAGAGAATCATGGTTAGAGGCCAGACTGGGCAAAAAGTTATTAGTGAGACCCCATCTCAACAAACTAGCCAGGCATGGTAGAGCATATCCCAGCTATGTGGCATAGGTAGGAAGGTCGTTGGTCTTGGGCAAAAACTTGAAACTGTATCTAAAAACTAACTAAACCAAAAAGGGCTGGAGATGTAGCTCAAGTGGTAGAGCACTTGCCAAACAGGCACAAGGCACTGAGTTCAAACTCTAGTACCACCACAGAGAAAAAGAGAAAATGTAGCTTTTAAAAAGATAATAAAATTGGTAAACTCCTGACTCTTATCAAGCAAAATGGAGAGAAAACACAAACTCTGAATATAGGGAATAAAAAAAGGGGCATCACTGGTGTCTGATCTTACAGACATTAAAAGAATGAGAAGGAAATTGTGAACAACTTACCAATGAAATTGACAACCTACATGAAATAGGTAAGTTTCATGGAAGATACAAATTAACAAAACCAACACAAAAACAAATAGGAAGTCAAATAGTACTGTGTCTGTGAAGGATATTAAATTCATAACTTCAACAAAAAAAGTTCTACGCCCTGGTGGCTCAGCTATTGAATACTATCGTACTTAAGGAAGAAGTTATACTGGCCCAATCCAAACTCAGAAAATTCAGGAAGAAAGAGCATTTTCAAAATCATTTTTATCAGGCCTCTATGACCTGATACCAAATAAAGGGCATTACAACATAAGAAAATTGCTGACCAAATTCTTTCATAAGCTTAGATGTAAAAATCCTTAACAAAATATTAGTGAATCAACTCCAGCAATATGTGAAAAAGATAACACTCCATGGTTAAATGAGATTTATCCTAGGAATGCAAATTTATTTAATACATAAAAATAAACCAAAGTAATTCACTATATTAACAGTTTAAATAACAGAATCACTAGATGCAGAAAAAGCATTTGACAAAATGTAACACCATTTTTTATAAAACTTGTGCACATACCAGGAGCGGAAGACTTCTTCACCCTGAAAGGAGCATGTACAAAAATCCTACAGCTAATCTCAAAGGCCACGTTTGGGAATATTTTCCCCCTGACATTGGGAAGAAGACAACAAAGGCCACTTTTACTTCAGATGTGTTACCTGGCCAGTGCTGCTTAAGGAGAAAAGGACATAGACATTAAAGAGTAAAGAAATAAAGCAGTTTTTACTTGACAATGACATAATCGTGTGCAGAGAGTTTTAAGGAACCTACAAGAACATTTCTGGAACAGATAAGTAAATTGATAGCACTGCTGTAAGAGATGAAGAAGGCTGGGTACAGTGCAATGGGGAGCACTTGTTTAGCATGCACAGGTCCTGGGTTCAATCTCTAGAACCACAAATAAATAAATAAACAAACAAGTAATTTAAGACTGAAAACTGTAAGACACTGCTAAGAGAAAGTAAAACCCATATAAATGGAGAGGTACACTGTATTTATGGATTGAATGACTCAATGTTCTCAAGAAAGTAGATCTTTCCACACTAACCTATAGAATCAGTACCAGTCAAAATCCCAGCAGGCTTTTGTGTAGAAAGTGGCAAACTGATTTTATTTTTTTTTTATTTTTGGGGGGCAGTACTAGGGTTTGAACTCAGGGCCTCATGCTTGCTAGACAGGCATTCTACCACTTGAGCCACTCACCAGCCCACAAACTGATTTTAAAATGTATTTGGAACTCTAAATGACCTAGAGTAACCCTAACAGTCTTGGAAAAAGAACAGAGTTATTGGACTTAGCCCTATTTGACATCAAGACTTCCTACAAACTAAGTTAATCTGGAAAGTAAGACAGTGGCAAAAAGATGAGCAAATAAACCAAAAGAGCAGAATAGATCACCCATGAAATAGATGCACAAGTGGATGGTCAAATGACTTTTGACAAGGGCACAGAAGCAATTTAATCAGGAAAGGAAATCTTTTTAACAAATGCTGTCTGAACAACCTCAATCCCTCCTTCACAGCGTGCAAAGAAGTCATAAACATAAAAGTTAAAACCAGAAAGCTACTACAACTTAAAGTTTCATAAACCATTTAAAAATTGATGAGTTGGTCCTTATCAAATTATAAAATCTTTTTCTCATTGAAAGATACTATTAAAAAATAGACAAATCACAAGTTTTTTTTAAAAAAATATCTTCAGCTAGGCACTGGTGGCTCAGGCCTATAATCCTAGCTTCTTGGGAGGCTGAGATCAGGAGGATCTCAGTTTGGGGCCAGCCTGAATGCATGTGACACCCCCTTCTCCAAAATAACCAAAGCAAAAAAAGGACTAGAGGTGTTGCTCAAGCAATAGAGTGCCTGATTTGGAATTGTAAAGCTCTGAGTTCAAACCCCCATCCCACACACACACACAAATCCACCATATATATATGTATGTATGTATTCTTGACCCAGGTCTGACAAAGACAGAATATATAAAGAATTCCTGCACTTCAATAATAAAAAGACAGCCCACGTTTTAAAAATTGGCAAAAGACTTGAACTGACCCTTCACCAAGAAGATACACAGGGTCAGTGCACACAAGAATGTGCTTGATATCATTATCACCATAAAAATGCTGATGAAAGCCATAATAAGATACCACTGCACACCCACTAGAATGGCTAAAATGAAAAAGACTGACAACACCAGGTTGGGAGGGTGTGGAGTGAGCAGAAATCTCACTGTTGCTGGGGCATGTAAAATGGTGTGGCTACCTTAGGGGACTGTTTGGTGGGTGTTTTTTGAGTTGGGGTTTGCACTTGCTAGGCAGGCACTCTACCACTTGAGCCATGCCTCCAGGCCTTTTTGCCTTTACTTATTTTTCAAATAGGGTCTCACTTTTATGCCTGGACTTCAGTCCTCCCATTTATACTTTCTGAGTAGCTGGGATGACAGGTGCATGCCACTGTGTCCAGCTTTTTATTGGTTGAAATGGGGTCTTGCTAATTGTTTGCCTGCAATTTCCACATCCCGAGTAGCTAAGATTATAGACATGAGCCACTGTACCCAGCTATTTAGCAGTTTTTTTGAAAGAAGTAAAATTTATCCTATATGACCCAGCAATCTAGTTCTAGATATTTATCCAAGAGAATGAAATCACGTGTTCTCAAAAGGCTTCAGATAAGAATCTTCATAGCAGTTCTAAACCCAGATACATTTGTCAACACATGAACAGACAAGCAAAAAGTGGTATATTCATACAGTGGAATATTACTGCACACAAGAACAAACACTGTACATGCAGCGACATGGATGAATGTCAGAAATAATATGATGAGTGAAAGAAGCCAAATAGAAAGAAAATACATACTGTTTTATTCCATTTCCATGAAATTTTAGAGCGGGAAAACTAACTTACGGTATCAAAATCAGATTTGGGTTGTTTCTAGGAACAGAGATACTGACGGGGGTGAAGAAGCTTCCTGGGTAGATGGAATGTGCTGCATCCTAACAGGGTGCAGGTTGCATGAGCAAATTTGTCAAAACTGATTGAATGGCATCCTTCAGAGCCATACATTATGTCCCAGTTAGAAGAATGGAGCACATGTAAGGGTTTGATTGCAATAAGAAGTGGCTACCAGGGATTTGTGATTTATTTCCTATAATTTTGAAAAATTCAGGACAGAATGTTCCTCCTTTTCCTTCTCCCTTTTTACTCCTTTACTTTCTTGGAGGAGTTGTATGCAGATTAATATCCAACAGCCCACACATTGGTTTTATTCACTGGGCAGATTTTTACTTTGTTCCTGTGCTGTGAGATTGGACACTGTATGGGACAAATGAGCCTGTCTCTTAGAACTAACATTACACAAATAATTACACTGTTACACATAACCACAAATTATTATACACAATGGAAGAAAAACACAAGCACCTATGAAAATGCACAGGGGAGTGAGGGATCCCCTTTGTGAGAAAGCGTTACTTGTGTTGGGATCTGAAGATAAGCAGGTAGAGAAATTTCCAGGAACTAGAAACCAAAGTAGCCCAAGAGCCACTTTTGCTGCCACTGTTCTCCCTGCCCTGCTTGGATTTTAATTGTCATGAGGTTCTGATGGGCAAAACCTTGGTTATATGCAAGGTGGAGAATTGGAAGTGAGGCTTTTCTTATGCTAGGCTTCGGGAAGCTTTCTGCCCCTGGTAAAAATGTAATATAGAAGACAGCACAGGGACAAGAGGAGAAAGCCTGTGGTCTCCTGCTGTTGGAGTGGAAGAAGTCTTTTCTGAAAATTTAAACCTTAGGCCTGCCTACCTTGTGTTACTTTCTAGCTTGAGGACCACTGATGAAATTTTAACATAAAATTAACCCCCAGGCATCTGACAGATGCAAAAGACAAACCTTCTATCAAGGCTTGCAGTATTCCCAGTCCAACCAAACATGAACTGCTAAGCTTCTGTAAGGTTAGGCCCATATAGGTCTAGATATTAGAGCTATTGGCTATAAAATAAGTTAAAATTTTCTAAAAACCTAAAAGAAAGAATGAAAGGCATGACAAACGAAAAGACTGTTTCAAAAGACCTGGGCTGGGGGCTGGCTCAGTGGTGAGCGCCTGCCCTGCATGTGTGAGGCCCTGGGTTCAATCTCCCACACCAAAATGAACAAGCAAACAAAAAAACCGAGTTGAAAATAAATCAGATAGACTGAGTGGATGTATGAAATGTTAGCTTAGACACAACTGAAGAGAAAATCTGTGACCTGGAAAATATTGTAAGAAAATTGCACAGAACAAAGTACAGAGCTGGAAAATGAGAC